CATTCCCCCCACTGACCCCCAATGTAAGGGACATTCCCCCCACCGACCCCCAATGTAAGGAGCATTCACGGAATATTCTGCGTGGCCCTTTGGTGGTATGCGGGGCTACCGTTGAGTATCTGCTCCCTATAGTTGATCCTCCGTTGTCATGTTACATAGTGACCATTATGATGAAGTGCTTTTGTGTTCCATCCCCCGCACCAGAAGCCACGTGTCCTCCAGTCTGGAAGGAGAGTCTCGTTACTTTGCTTCATTCTCCCACGTGTCACCTCCGGGGGCCCCATTCACACAGAGATCCGTGGAGGGTCCCTTGACTTGCAGTTGCACCTTCTGACTTCCTTGCCGTGCCTTTTCCATCGGAAGGCCACCGATCAATCAGTGGGTGTGGATGGGTCTGGCCCACGCTGGATTGGGTGCGTCGCTGAAGTAAAGTTTTCCGCGTTCTACTTTTTTCAGTGTAACGGATCCGGCGTGGACTCGGTGGCCCTCCGATGATAAATGGATGACATCAGAACGGGTGTGAATGGGCCCACGCCGTGGCTGTTTGTATTGTGTCATTCGTCTTTTCTTCTCGCGTGGTAACTTTTTTCGTGTCTCTCCCGCCCTCAGATTTGTGGACTTCATGAAGAATGCAGACCATTAAGTGTGTAGTTGTTGGCGACGGGGCGGTTGGGAAGACGTGTCTCCTGATCAGTTACACCACGAATGCCTTCCCGGAGGAGTACATCCCCACCGTCTTCGACAATTACAGCGCCCAGATGACCGTGGACGGCAGAACGGTGAGCCTGAACTTGTGGGACACGGCGGGGCAGGAGGAGTACGACCGCCTCCGCACTCTGTCCTACCCCCAGACCAACGTCTTCATCATCTGCTTCTCCATCGGCAGCCCGTCCTCCCACGCCAACGTGAGGCACAAGTGGCACCCGGAGGTGTCCCACCACTGCCCCAACGTGCCGGTTTTGCTCGTGGGCACCAAGCGGGATCTGCGGAACGACACAGAGACCATAAAGAAGCTGAAGGAGCAAAGCCTCGCCCCTACCACGCCCCAGCAGGGCTCCTCCCTGGCCAAGCAGATCGGGGCCGTCAAGTACATGGAGTGCTCGGCCCTGCACCAGGAAGGGGTGCGGGAAGTGTTCGCCGAGGCCGTCCGCGCCGTTCTCAATCCCGTGGCCAAGAAATCCCCCAAGAGGTGCGTTCTGTTATAGTGGCCGGCGCTGACCGACGCACCACAAGAATTCTGGGGGGGGGGCGGGGTTTTGTTTTAGCACATCGTCTT